TTCTTACGTATTCCGAAAGCAATGGCTGTACGTTTTTTTACTTGTTTCATATATTAGGTAATATGTACAAGTGACTTATTTTAGAGAATGAGCTCCTGTATGCTGTAGAGAATTTTATGGAATGGGTTTCCATGGCCAAGCAGCTGCATCCAAGCCTTACATCACCAAGTGCAATGCAAAGCGTCAAATGCAGTGGTGTAAAGCTCACTGCCACTGGACTCTAGAGCAGTGGAGACGTGTTCTCTAGAGTGACGAATCAAGCTTCTCTGTCTGGCAATCAGATGGACGAGTCTGGGTTTGGCGGTTGCCGGGAGAACAGTACTTGACTGTATTGTGCCAAGTGTAAAGTTTGGTGGAGGGGGGATTATGGTGTGGGGTTGTTTTTCATGGTCTGGGCTTGGCCCCTTAGTTCCAGTGAAAGGACCTCTTAATGCTGCAGCATTCAAAGCCATTTTGGACAATTTCATGCTCCCAGCATTGTTGGAACAGTTTGGGGATGGACCCTTCCTGTTACAACATGACTGCGCACCAGTGCACAAAGCAAGGTTCTTAAGGACATGGCTGAGCGAGTCTGATGTGGAGGAACTTAACTGGCCTGCATAGAGCCCTGACCTCAACCCAACAGAACACCTTTCGGATGAATTAGAACGGAGACTGTGAGCCAGGCCTTCTCGTCCAACATCAGTGCTTGACCTCACAAATGCTCTCCTGGAAGAATGTCAAAAATTCCCATAAACACACTCCTAAACCTTGTGGACAGCCTTCCCGGAAGAGTTGAAGCTCTTATAGTTGCAAAGGGTGGGCCAACTCCATATTAAAGCCTATATATTAAGAATGGGATGTCATTAAAGTTCATGTGTTTGTGAAGGCAGGTGTCCCAATACTTTTGGCAATATAGTGTATGTTAGCATATCATTTAATTGTAATTCTGATGATTGTTAGCACTTATCAACCAGCTTGTTGTAACTTACAAAGAGATCTCCTAAGTCTGTGTTTTGTTTATTACAGTTTCACTCATAGGTTTTCACCTGTCACATGTGGAGAAAACACGTACCGGGAACAGTACATTGTTCATTACAGCATATAGTACACTACTATGTAAACATTTATTAATATACTAAAAATGTTTTAAATGGTTCAAAGGCAAAATGTAAACAATATGAAAAGATGGTTGACACAAGCTCACTACCAGTACAGTATGCTTGAAATGTGGGCAAGAAACGGTTCCTCGATTATCGAATAATTCGCTTAACGACCTAGTCATAGGAACTAGGGGAGTTCATAATTCACCATTTAACTGCTAACCTCTAAGAATTTAATTAATACTATCAGTTAAACGGTTAAAAAAAATGTTATAATATCCGTTCATGAGAGCATGTCAACACGTGCATCTAACTCCAGGTGCCTACAGGCTACAGCTAAATTTGCAGTTTGTGGAAAAAAATTAAACAAGCCAAAAGAAGCGGTGAAAGCATAGGAAAATGAGATTATATATAAGCTATGTTTCTTTTTTTATATTATGATGTGAATGTGATGACTTTCCCTTTTGTTAACATTAATTACGCTAGATTAAGTATACCCAATACAAAGATGATTTTTGTTACAGCATTCTCCATGCTATATGTTAAGTTCTAGCTACTTTCAGTTCATTTGAGTTTTACAATATTTTCCTACACTTTGTGCTAGAGGATTAAATGTTTGGTTCATGTTGTAAATGTTTTTTTTTTTTGATTATTTACATAAATCATGAAGTATTTGCTCTTGAAAAAATAAAGTACTTATAATTTTTAAAACATTTTTGTTTAGGTATTTTGGAATTTGGTGACAGACCCACTTCCATTCAATATAGTTTTTCTCATTGGTTAACTGTTAATAGTCTATTAACACATGGTGACTATTGATAACAAAAAAATCTAAATGGACATCTGTAGTAGGAACAGAACTTGGTCAGTAGGTGACGAGTGTCTGCATTTAGGTTGGTATTCACTGCCTCAAAATTAATGTAAACTGTATTACTCATATCTTTCCTGCCACTGCTGTTTCTGTGGTGACTTGCTCTCCTCCTGCATGCTGGAGTGGTATCTAAAAATGGATAGGCTCCTGCTGCAGGCTTTGCTGTCATTGGGTATTCAGTGCTTACTTCACTTGCACTAATGACTGAGCTGTGTTTGCTGTTTCTGGCTTGTTGTAAAGGTTGACACATCTTGAACTTCCAGGTGCAGTCAGTACTAGGGTTGGGTATCGTTTGGTGGTTTTTCGATACCGGTGCCAAATCGATACTTTTGAAACGGTACCGGTGCCAAAACGGTGCCTGAACCGATACTTTACAAAAGCCACAAAATGATGGTGGATGACTCAAGAATACATTTTTATTGAACAAAAAATTGAATGCTTAAAATTGAACAATATATTAAAAGTTTAAAGTATATATGAATATATATGTAAATACAAAAAACAACAACAAAACATAAGCCACCTATGTAATGTTAATTTAACATTACATTAGCCTACTACTAACCTGCGGAAAGGTTGCTGTCGTCATCATAATCGGTGGACTCCTTTTTGCTACGGTTGGTATGACGGGCTGGGGTTATCCACACCGTTCGTGCCAGCTGTTGTCCGCAAGCTGTCAAGCACAGTGCATCCCTCTGCTTTTAAGTTTATTCCGTGTACCCTCAAATGTTTCATTAAATTTGATGTGTTTCCCTCTTTACACGCAACTGCTGTAAAACATTTGCTGCACGCCGCGGTGTTGGAATCCTTTCTTGTGAAATATAGCCACACTTTTGCTTGTTTAGTTTTAGGCATTTTAACAAAAGTTGTTTAATTTAGCAAGCTAAGATAGCGGTAGACCACCTGCTGCGGTCAGAGCAAGTGTAACGTTAGTTGCTGCATTCACGCGCATCTCGGATGGTCTCATTTAATAATAATAATAATAATAATAATAATAATTGATACTTTATTGATCAATTGTTTTTACGCCTCCCTCCCGGGGGGCCCGGGTCTGCGAAGGGCAGCCACCTGTAGCGGCGCCCAGGGAGCTGGGGGTTGAGGGTCTTGCTCAAGGACCCGCAGACGTGCTGAGGCTGGGTTTGAACCGGCGACCTTGTGATTACAAGCACACGGCTTAGCCCACTGAGCCACACGCTGCCCCCTTTCCTGATGATGTCACGTGTGTGTTGATGAATCTTATGCTTATTACAACTGTGTCATCATAGCCCCAGAGAACAAATATTTCAATCGACAGTTCAGGCATCTAAGTGGCACCGAAATTAGCGTTTTGTTTCGGTCCGGTACATTCCGGTTATATAGGTACCGGTGCCGTATTGGCACCGGTTTTCGGTACCCAACCCTAGTCAGTACTGCTTCTAATTGACTACAGCAACCTCAAATTTACGTTGAACCCTTTTAAAATGTTAGTGCTGAAAAACACACACTGGTCTGTCATGTTTTCCACATATTGTCTTTATTCATATTAGCAAAATGTTGACCAGTTGGGTCTGTTCCTTGCTTAATGGCTCACATTTGAGCACACAGTCATGTTTGTGAGGATCCGGCCCGCCCTCGGCCACGCTGTGCCATTGTTGGCTAATAGTCCCCACAATCCCTTCTCAGCGGCGACTGCCCACAGGTTAAACCTGTTCTACCTTGCCAACGATGTGATCCAGAACTGCAAGAGGAAGAACGCCATTGTGTACCGCACATCCTTTGCTGAGGTGCTTCCGCAGGCAGCTCTACTGGTGCGGTAAGTGCTTCACTTGCTGCTTCCACTGCTGCCCTGTTGCACATCCCTGGCTAACATAAAGTCGAAGACACTTTAGATGTATAGAGACATGGAGTGCCATGCATACTGGGAATGTCCTGTAGTTCACTGTGTACAACTTCCATTTGTTAATGGCAGGGAGTCAAAGGTGCGCAAGTCTGTGGAGAGGATCCTGACTATCTGGTCCGAGAGGAACATCTACCCCCAGGAGCTGATCTCGGACCTTAGAGCCAGCCTGGCCAATAAAGGGACCCCTGCAGGTCAGTGTGACAGAGCAGCCAAAAAGAACTCAGGCTGCTCAGTTATACAAACCAGCTTGACTGCTTAAAAGACTACTGTTACTACAAACTAGAGCTGTCACGATTACTTGACTAAACTTGCTTACTGCAGTTGTCTGTCAGTACTGCAAAGCAGAACTTGAATATCGCGACAGCACAACTGCAAAGCAAATACATCTTAGAAGACATTCAAGTTAGCCAAATGTAGAACTTATCTACCTTTAACTTATCTACCAACAGTCTGTCAAATAACTTAGTGTTGCTGCGAGTTGTGGCAACAGGCAAAGCAGTGCCGACAAATCACTTGCTTTTGCTCGTAATTTTAAAATACAAAATATTTAATTACAACGGAGTACGAATGGCTTTTTGTGACCAGTTCTTGTTTGCTTTTCTCCTCTTCACTCAATTTTTTCTTAATTTCTTTCAAATGTGCCACACAGTCTATGAATCAGTCCAACGGAAAGGACAAGAATGATATGGTTGTCTCGCAGATCGCATGCTGTGCTCATGCAAAAACAGTGGCAGTAAACTTGAGACCAAATTTTTAAAAACCTATACTGGATAATGCCTCCTGCTTCTTGTCCTACAGTGCCAGTCAACTCCAAAGCCCCTCTAAAGGCCAAGATTGTAGCAGAATTTGTGGTAAGGTTCTTTCTTTTAAATTAAGGTTGCATATTTTAGCCCTGCCTTATCGTGCTGTAACCCCTCCCCTATCAGGACTGTGCCCCCTGTACCTGCTGTAACCCCTCCCCTATCAGGANCCCCCTGTACCTGCTGTAACCCCTCCCCTATCATGACTGTGCCCCCTGTACCTGCTGTAACCCCTCCCCTACTGTGATTGTGCCTCATGTACCTGTTGCAGCCTCAGGCCTTCAGGCAGCAGCTCTCAGCATACAGGAACTCACAGCAGGTAGCTGAGCTGAAGGAGAAGCAGCTGGCTGCCCTGAAAATGGACATTTGCAGCACCAGCGCCTTTAAGAGGCTAAAGGGTGTGGCCTTTTCTCTCTTTCGTTCATGTGACAGCAGAGATGTTTATTGCACATTAAATTGCCATCGCAAGCTGTGATCTTTCTTTACAGTTCAGTTTGTTTGAGTAAGCTCAGTCTTTTTTTTTGCCATGTATTGTCTTTCAGACAAGGAAGGTGGTAAGAAGTTTTCCAGGGACTTTGACAATGATAATAGAAAAGTACAGGAGTTTGTGGGCTTCCTGGAGCAGCAACTGAAGGAAGGGCACCACCTGCTGGAGTGGCTGAACAATGCAGATGTATTCTATGAGATGCAGTACAGGGAGGTCAAGATCATCGCAAAAGTAAGCTGTTTTTTTTTTTTTTCCCCCCCTAGTGCTTATTTGAGTAGATGAGTGACTTTTATCATTAACATTAGCTGGAGACCAGCTAAAAGTAGTAAATGTAATGTGAGGTGTTCTGAATGGCCAACCTTGCACATATTGTCTAAGCTGAATCTTCCCAACAGGCCTACACTTCCTTTGCCAGCCGTGTTTCAAACCTGAAGCAGAAGCTGGATGCTCTCAAGTCAACACTTCCAAATTTAGACAGCTCGCCTGTGCCCTCACCCTTGGAAGATGCGCCGTCCCCTACTGACTCTGAGTCACCCTCCCATGGCAATGGTGGGGCAGCGCCAGAGACAGTGCCCAGGGATCGTGGGAGCCGCTGTGTCCTGGGAGGCGCCCTGTCAACGGGCAACCTTGCACATGGGCAGTGGGACAACAGGGATGTGGAAGACATGGAGCTGTGTGAGGGAGAGGAGCCAGAGGGCACAGCTATCATAGGTGAGTGGCTCGGGCACTCTGCTCCGTGGGCAGCTCAGGTCTACAGGCAGAAATGCCCCCGCAATCAGAAAAAGTTGGGACCATATGGAAAATGCAGATAAAAAGCAGTGATACTGAAATTGACTTTTATTTCATTGCAGACAGCAGCACCATAAGGTTTTGTCTGATCAACTTAATTTGTTAATATACATACATTTCTGCATTTCAGGCCTACAACACATTCCAAAAAAAGTTGGGACAATAAAGAATTTGCCAATTTGTAATGTTGCAATTAAAAGATGTTTTGGCACTGAGGATACCAAGCAATGAAGCATTTCAGGTGTTCAGCATTTTTTCCCATTCTTCCTGCAAACACATCTTGAGGTATACAACAATAAGGGGTTGTTATTGCAAATTCTCAACACGTTCTGTATTGGGAACACGTCAGGACTGCAGGCAGGCCAGTCCAGTACCAATACCCTCATGTTTTGCAGCCATGCCTTTGTAATGCGTGCAGAATTTGGTTTTGCATTTTCTTGTTGAAAAGGCATGGGCGTCCCTGGAAAAGATGTCGTCGTGATGGCAGCATATGTTGCTCTGAAAACTAAGAGTACTTCTCTGCAGTAATGGTGCCATCACAGAAGTATTAATTGCCTTTGCCAAGAGCACAGACACAACCCCGTTCAAAGTCACTTTTGTAGTGTCCCGGAGAGGTCAGAGTGGGAAAATATATTTTTGAAATAGTTTTGTGTTCCCTAGCAATAGCTTTGCATTACTTATAATGACTGTACTGTGTCCATTTAAACATATAATCAGTGTAAGCTGTAGTGTGACATGAACAATAAATTAAAATAAAAATATTTTGGTACAATAAAGCTACCCTTATAAAGGGGTTATGAATGGTTTATAAGTAGGTTATAAATTAGGTTGTAGCACTTAGTAAATCATTAATAAACAATTATAAACCAGTTATACCACAGTTTTCTTTTTATTAATGAGTTACTGCCATTTATAAGTGGCAAAGGGGAGCCTTATTGTAAAGTGGTACCAATATTTCTTGTAACACTGTAGTGACAAGCACACAGGCACATTACCACAAAACCAGGCCATCTTCTTAACACTTTAACATGTTAAACTTACTAATGAAAGCATTTCACTACCAGTTTCTACTGAAAAGCTTTTTGCTCTACTGTGGTGAAAGGATGCAAACCTCTCACCACGAACTTTGTCTCAGCCTGGTGGCACTCGTTCACCCTCTCCTCATTACATTTCACTGCCTGGAAAGCTAGCATGAACAGGTTTTGTTTTTCCGGGCATGACGCAATTGCTGCCTCGGAGATATCGCTGCCACCCTGCTCATCATCTTCTAAAATGGATGAAACACATGTATACATAATTTATGTTTCAGAAAATGTACCTGTAGGTTAAGGCACTGCAGTTAAAGTTACCCGCGACTATGGAGACCACGGAGTGGCAAACACATGGCAATTTTTAAATGTAATGCCGTGTTTTCAGCTTAAATGCTTAAGCATATTACTAGTGTTACCACCCTTAGAGGTGACAACGGCTTTGCATTGGTTTCACACTGTACAAAGGTCATCCTTCTTTGTAAAATGCAGCCATGCCCTGGACCGCTTCCTGTGCTCCATCATGTGGACTCCAAGTCGCGGCATATGACGTCATTTCGTGTGACACGAAAAGTCCGGATGAATCGTTAGAGGAATCGGAGGTGTACCGTTCCGGTGAACTAGCTAACGTTATCTTACAAGCGAGCTAGCTACAGTGGTACCTCAGTTCTCTAACTCATTTGAACTCGAATTTCTTAACCAACCAGTTCGAAAAAGAAATACCTAGAGCTCGATCTGAATCTCAGAAGTCAAACCGTGAACGCCGATCTAAGAGAACTTGTTCGCTTGGGGAAATGGGTCACGCGGCATGTCTCTCAGTGGAAACAGAGTTCAGCCTTGCATTCGCCGTGATAACATCGTGCATGTTTACACTAGCTGAATACATATATTTAGACAATGACAGACAGTAATAGTAATTATTATATAATAAATACATTTAAAAATAAAGATTTCTTATTATTTTAATATGAATAATAAACCATTAATACATTTAATTATAATAATATAATCGTGCCGAGCGGGGACGGAACGGAGACAAAGGCGCAGACGTCAGGGTGTTGGGGAATATAGGGTTTAATTACAGGTAAGGCAGGTAAAACGCAAGTAAAACGCAGACAATCAATACAATGACCGGACTGGGGAAACAAATTGAAATGCGGATGCAATACATAGGACTAATGAAAACAACCAGAAACAGGTGATCACACAGGGATTCCACACAGGGTTAACGAGGGGGCGTGGCACTCGGAAGGAGCAGACTATCGGGGAAGGACACATTGTTTGGATACATTTATTTTTTTACTTTACAAATTACTGTTTTGATAAATGTGCTTAGATGTGTTTAGTGCAGTATATGCTCTTGTTTTATCCGGTTCATTTTTTTTTAAATGCTAAAAAAAACATTTCTGTGTAATTTTTTGGAGGCTGGGAACCAATTAATTGGTTTTCCATTATTTCTTATGGGGAAAATTTGATCAGAACTCGAACTTTTTAGGGTTCGATCCTGAGTTCTGGACGGATTAAGTTCAAGTTCTGAGGTACCACTGTAGTATAATTGGCCTTTGTCTAAGTGACATTTTACTAAAAATTAATGTCTTGGATACAAGTACACAAAATTAATGTAAGCTTTTAAATGACCACATGTTCTAGAGTAGTGGTAGTCATGATATAGGCAGGTTAATGTCCTTCAATGTTCCCTTCTATTCTGAATTTACATTCTTATGAAGGTATACTGTAAAATGCCAACCAGCATATTGAGGACGTGGGCCAGTGACCATGATGTCAATTCTGCACCACTGTGCATGTCGAGGGGCCAAAGGGCCTTGATGCTCAGCTCACAACTTAATTGCTGAAGTATCCTCCTTTTAAGCTTGGACAGTACGCTGTGGTGCCCTGGGTAATCATTTCACAATGTGTATGATAGAAGTGTGATAGAAGAGGACCAAAATGTGAGCCTTGGATTGAAGCTGCTTTGATATGCCCATAGTTGAGCAGCGTATGGAGAAGCCACTCCCCACGAGTGCCCAGACGTTACTGCCAGCCAGGGCGGCTAAAAGCACACATGATGTTCTGCCTCCCAGTGCCCCTGCACTGACAGCGCCCCTCAGCTTAGCCAACGTGGACCTGGGCAAGATCAGCTCCATCCTCAGCAGCCTCACCTCTGCTATGAAGGGTGCTGGTGAGATCTGTCTGTCTCTCTGTCTGTCTGTCTGTCCGTCCCTCCCTCCCTTCCTCAATAGTCTGCTAGCCTGAATAAACTTTGAGTCTATTTACTACCAATTTCTAAAGATGCACGTTAGATTTATCTGTTTATTTTTATATATATACGCAAAATTACTAGCACTGAAAAGTTTTAAAGTTATTGCGAGAAATGCGATATTTCACTGTCACAAAGGCGGCTAACACATGAGTAAGGCTGGTTGCTGAGACAAAGAAGCGCCAAGCCAATACTTTAATGTTAAAAGATACTGTATGCATTTACACTAACATATCATGTATTACTAATATTACTATATTATATGATTTTATGTGATCCAAGTCGTTTTCAATATTGTTTTTGGTTTATGTATCATGGTCGTGTTTCTGCGACCTTTCAGCAGGCTCCAGAAATACTCCTGTTTAATTGTTCATGGCCAACTCACGAATAAGTGAATCCGTGAATGTCAAGTCTCTGAATGTGAAGGGGTGTGTGGGCGTGTCTTGCTTTTACCTGCTTTAAAGATATGCTGTCATTCTCTCTCAGGAATGGGTTCTGTCCCTCTCCAGAGCCCCCATTCTGCTCGTGGCCCTGCCCCCGCCCCTGCTGCCAGTGGCTCCCTGGCCAGCCTGCTGTCCCGTGTGGACACCAGCCCCCAGGGCCTCCTGAGTGCCCTCTCCAGGACACAGGGCTGCGGTGCCGAGCTGCAGGGTGAGTGCATGCCTCTCCCGTCCTTTTGGGGGGGGGTCTTTTCCACACCTAGCTCTTTGTGGCTTTGTTTATGAGCAGCATGTCTTCCACCTTGTCTTTCCTCAGATGTGCCATCCCTTCAGCAGGTTCCAGTTGTGGGCTCCTCTGTGGCCCCAGGTTCTGTGTCTGTGTCACCCCCAGTCAGCAGCAGCCGTGCTTCCCCTAAGGATTTGTGTTCTCCATCAGGTCGGGACTGTGTCGTGCCACTTGGCCTACAACCCGGAGCCCCGGGTGACCAGGGCAAGGAGCAGGAGCCCAGCCCCACTGAGTCATCCCCTCCCTCAAATTTGGAAGCCAAAATACAAAAGTTCCTTCAAGGAAACCCTGGCTTTGCTCTAAATGGGTCGACCTTGTGTGGGGGGAGCCCATTGCCTATCGCTGAGAACGCAGAAGGCACCCCCCTGAGGGACGAAGAGGGAGGAACGCCCACGCAGGACGAGGAGATGGAGCAGCCTGCCGCAGGGCTGGCCGGGCGAGGAGGTAGTGGCGCCCCTGCCTGGCGGGCAGAGTCTCAGCAGCATAGCCAGAGCATTGAGACGTGGGTTACCACTGCTCCTAGTGTGGGGGCAGAAGCTGAATGCAGACAGGCGGGCATTTGGAGCAGTGGCTGCTCTACGGAGGGTCTGTCCTCACTGGCTGAGCGCACAGGACGGGGTGCTCCCCTGCCTGCCCCAGAGCCCCCCCGTGAGGGAAGGCAGCCTGCAGCATGCACAGGTGAAGCCCCACCTCAGCATCCACCATCTGCTTTTTTCAACAAGCCTCTGCCTCCAATTCCCACACTGCCCCCACCACCCCTACAATTCCTTCCCCGTCCTGGCCAGGGCCAGAAGTGTGGCACACCTACTCCCCCTAGAGCAGAACAGAGAGCATTTGTGGGGGGTAGAAGCAGTGTGGCTCATGGAGGCCCTCCTCCCTGGATAGGCAGCGGTATGGAAGGTGGTCAGGGGTGCCGCCCCCCTCCCACTGCCCTTTCCTGGCCTAGGGTCCCCCCTTCCCAGTTACCTGCCCGGTCCCCTGGGCCCCTTCACCCTCCCTATGGAACACACTCTGGGCCTACTTTACTCCCACCCATGCGCTCTTATTTTAGTGCCCCCCCAAAACGGGGACCACCTGACACCCCCAGGCGACCTTTCTTACCCCATCAGCACTGATGCTTTCAGTGTAACCTCTGAGAAGATGGATAATTAGACAGATATATTTGGGTGGAGTGAGCAAAGGTGCAGGTTTAGCTCAGGAAGCCTCACTTAAGGATGAGCACTGCACACATTTAGTTCCTGTTACGCTGGACAGCCAATGGAAATGTCCTCCCACAGTGCCGTAATAATTTCGAGTTGAAAAGCTTGCCACATTTTAGATTGGTACATATTTATTTTGGCCAATTGGTGGTGGGGGGGGGGCTATCTTCCGTGTTTAAACTTGCTTAGTCACACCAACTTGGAATGTAACCGCCAAGCAGAAGCTTTATTGCATGTTTTCCAACGCTGTTGGTGTTTCTGCAGCTCTGGGGCACTCTGATGTTGTGCTGCCACACCCGCATGTGTAGGCAGCACCAAGCTAATAAAAAGTTCATCACAGTTACTAGCCAAGCATGTGTGATCCAGCCTTAGCGTCATATATGGCATATGACGTTACGTTCAGTAGGACAACCAGACCCTCAATGTACCAGATTGAACCCAGTTTGACCCCTTTGTCTATGCCCTTCTCGTGAGGTCAATCTCCGGGCTTTGAGGGGAACTGACAGGTTGATGTAGACAAATCTGCAGTACTTGCGTGTTCACGTCAGACATGTTGAATTTGCACACCTGTTTCTCTGATGATTTTTATTAAAAGAATCATTCACTTTTATAGTATATCTCTAAAACCTGTTATTGCAATATATGATTGCATTTTAAAGTTTATTCTTGATTCTCAGTCGTGCCTTTTCAGCAATTTCATGCGTATTTTTCTTGCCATCCACATTCATGGTCCCGCTGGCATCTGCATGCCTTTAAGCAGGTGTCATTAATGAAAGTGACAAATTGGTAGGAAATACAGTGAAATGCCGAAACACACCTCTTACTCCCTGCGTTAGTTGACTTAGGCACTGTGGAGTAGCATTTTGCAGAGTCGCTGAATTGGTTCAGAGTAAGTGCCTTCTTTAACGGTACAATTAAAGTGGCCCTATTCTAGTATGAGCCCTAAACAATGTAAATATCTGACACCATCATGCTGTATACTGAGTAGCTTTCCAGAGTGGTTGCTTTTTCCCTGCACAGAGCACATTTACAATACTACAATAAAAAGGACCCTTGACAACCTGTGGCTTCAAACTCTTTAGGCTTTTTTTTATATAAACATTAACAAAAATCTGGAAGCTGTAAAAACGTGCTGGATCAAATGTGTCCACTTTTCGTACTCTGGTGTTTTTCATCTGTCTTCCTTTTGTTCCCTTCATTGTCTGCCCACATCTTCGTCACAAACATACACACTGCTTGTGTCACTCCCTGCCAGTTCTGTTTACATCTCCCTCAGAACCTGTCACTGTTTGAGGTCAACAGTTTTTCCATGTGAGGGTTCCTACAGCCACATGTGTTAAGCACCATTTGCTTTTGTCTGCGCAGCTTATATACATATATATATACAGCACTGACCAAAATTAAATTTGACATTCTTGTAATTTGCAAAATGACTGCTTATCTGAATTTGCTGTTATCTTACCATGAATAGAGGAAATGTATTTTAATTGTACTTCAGTGAAAACTATCCCAGATCACAACATAAAGGGTTTAAACAAGAAATTTGAAGTCGGCTTATGATCAAAATTAGAGAACAAGTTATTTGCTTCTACTTCGGTTGCAATGTGAAATATCTGCCAATCCTAATCTATTTGACAACATTAGTAGGCATTTTACAAGATGGCCGACCTCTCCAAGGTGAATGACACCCTGCAACATCAGATTCTGAAGGCTGATAGATGACCCTCTTGCCCACTGGAAGAGAAGTTACTTAATCTCCAATATTGAAGCTGTACAAAGAAATCAAGTCATTCAAGTGTTGAAAAAGGCACGTCACCCACGTAAGATGGACCTGTGAGAGAACAGGACAGGATAGTATGGAGACTCTTGGTGAGGGATCGGTTCAACACCGCAGCTTGCTGATTCAATGCTGGACAGGGCAAGAATTTGTCTCGACAGGGTCTCATTGCCAGAGGGAATTTGGACTGAAAGCTCACAGTGACCAAACCACTCATCAGCAAGAAGAATAAAAAGGCTAGACTAACCTTTGCTGAAGAGTACATTTGGTAGACAGATGAGTTTTGGTCCAAAATTCATGCCAGCGTTGAAAGTGTCGAACTGGGGAAAGATTTCAATGAAAGTGAAGAAGTCAGTAAATTTCAGAGGGGGAAGCATGATGGTGTTTAGGATGTTTTCTGCAGCAGCAGTAGGGCCTTTCATATGCCTAGGTGAAGGTGTGCTAGAACTAGGCTTGGGCAGTGTCTGTTTTTTATACCGTCATACCTTCTAGACATTTTACACCAGTGTACGGCATATAACTAAAAAAAAAAAAAAAAACACGTAAATCATATAGGCTACAGTAAACTCCAAAATCAGAGAGACCGTAGAAGGGCTTATCAGTGTGGAAGTTGAATGGTACAGAAATGAGGAGATACCTCCTTGTTGAACTATTAAAGAGATTAGCCTTTGTTAATTCACACTGTCACTGCCTGATATGTTGCTGTATGTGCCCTATGTTTCACATATGCTGCACATGTTCTAACAGTATGCTACATTTTGTTCTTGTGACATTATCCTGTGTATGCATGTGTAATAATAGGCATCAATATGGAGTCGGTTCCCCCCTTTGCAAGTATAACAGCTACCACTCTTCTGGGAAGGCTTTCCACAAGATTTTGGAGTGTGTCTGGGAATTTTTGGCCATTGATCCAGAAGAACATATGTGAAGTCAGGTTCTTCCACAGCAAACTCGCCCAAATGTCTTTATGGACCTTACTTTGTGCACTGGGGTCCAGTCACGCTGGAACATAATAGGGCCTTCCTCCAACTCTTCCCACAAAATTGGAAGCATAGAATTGTCCAAAATGTCTTGGTATGCTGAAGCATTAGGAATTCCCTTAACTGGAACTAAAAGGCCTAGCTCAACCCCTGAAAAACAACCCTATACCATTATCCCTCCCAGCAAACTCTACAGTTGCCACAATGTAGTTGGGCAGGTAACATTTTCTTGGCATCCCCCAAACCCAGTCTTGTCCATCAGACTGCCAGACAGAGAAGCATTAATTCTTCACTCCACAGAAGATGTTTCCACTGTTCCAGAGTCTAGTAGCGCCATGCTTTACACTACTCCATCCAACGCTTGGTATTGCACTTAGTGATGTAATTGGTCATGGAAGCCCATTCCGTGAAACTCCCGCCATACAGTTTTTGTGCTGGGGTTAATGGTACAGCAAGTTGGGAACTCTACAATTATTGAGTCGGCAGAGCGTTGAAGACTTTTACGCACAATGCGCCTCGGCACTCTGTGACCCCACTCTGTTACCTTACGTGGTCTGAGGAGGAGTTTCTTTTGTTCCTAAATGCTTCCACTTTGTGATAATACCACTTAACATTTGACCGTGGTAGATCTAGGAGGGAAGAAATTTCACTCTTTTATTGCTATTCTATGACAGTACCACACTTGAATTCTCTTGAACTCTTCAGAACGACCCATTCTTTTACAGATGTACGTAAACCTGACTGCATGGCTAAGTACTTGATTTCATACACCTGAATGCAGTTATTAGGACGTATATTTCAGTACTGTTGTTCATGTAGTATATGTGTTAAGTTGAAATAAATGTTTGGCTCATTCACATTTTTTCAGCCATTCAATGATCCTAATTCTTTCCGTAACTGCCCTTCATACCCTACCTTGAATCACAGCCATTGGGGTTTAATCTGTGTCCTCCTTTATATGTTGAGCTGATTTGGCAGAGGTTGCTGGCCGTGGCTGGATGAGTGGTATTACTGTTGTATGGTTTAGAATGGCAGTTTCAGCATCCTCCTTGTTCCTTATATCTGTGGTGTCTGGGATTAATTATGTCATTCGTAGCGTTTTTTTTTTTCTTTCTTAGATCGTTCAAAGATCTTTTTTTTTTTTCTTAGGTCGTTTGTGGGTGGTGGTGTCTTGATGGTTAGGGAAGTGCACTTGTAATTGAAAGATTGCAGGTTCGAATCCCTGACCAGCAAGGCACCACTGAGGTACCCCCGGGCACTGAATTAGCTGCCCCCTGCTATGTTACATATGGGTTAAATGCAGAGGACACATTTTGTTGTTGTGCACTGTGTGCTGTGGTGTGTCAGCAATGATCACTAAATTCTTAAATTCTAATTCTAAATTCTTTAACAAGACGGCTGTGAAAGGACACGAGGGTGTGTAAATAACACACAATGGGCTGAGGTCCAGCTATGAGCTATGCCTAGAAGATGCTTCATTGTGACTCTTATCCAGAATTCTCTCTTTACTTTTCACTAAGAAGCAAACATGGTTCACTGTAATAGAAAGCAGTAACCTAAAATATGGAGAACAGTTTTTAGTGTTTATTATTGCATACATTTACAGTAAACTTTCAAACCATAACCAAGGAAAGCGCACCCACATCATTAGCACAGTTAAGTTTCCCTTAATTGTGCTAATGAAGTGAAATTAAGAGGATTGTCATTTTCAAGCAGCATTGTACAGCTGGTTTTAATAAGGTGTGCATTTTACTGTACATATATGTAAAATGTGTTTGCTTAGTCAAACGATAGAGGTCACTGCTGTTCTTTGGTAACTTTATGCAACTTTTTATTCTGTCTGTGAATTGATAGTCACACTGTCCCACTCCTTAATTCCCTACCTCATTACAGTTTAAATCAAATATTTCTGTCTTTAGATATGTTAGGAAGACATTTTTGAAAGCAGCAATATTTTGAAAAATACATCTCTGTTAAAAATACTCCCAAAATGAAATGATGTTGCATAGTGGCTCAGTGAGTAGCCCAGTCTCCTCACACCTCGAGCGTTTGGGACTTCATTCCTATATATAAACATGGTTAGGTATCTCTAAGTGTTCAAAAATGTGTGAGTGAGGTAATGTGTCCTGTGTTTCCTCTCATAAGCTCCTGGCTCTGTACTGCATGAGGAGTGTGGATGGATGGATGGACGGATGGATATTTGACATGAGGAGGCAAGTCTATTGTTTTATTTAATTAGCAGTCTGAGTAGGAGCTCCTGACCTGCGGATTTCTGGTAGAATCAGAATATGTGATAACACTAGGCATTTTTAATTTTTTTTTTCTTTTTACCTTAGAATGTATTACAGTCCTCACCCCATTCTGACTTCCACAGTTTTCCTTCCCCGACAGTGTGTTTTGTCTATATAATGATCTCTACATTACTTAATGATTTAGCCCCTTTAAAGAACTGGACAATCTCATCCACTTCCTCTAATCTGTGTATTGAAACAGCTGTATTAATAAGGCACTGCATTCCTATATGTCCTTTAATTCCTCTTCTTCCTGTTCTCCACTTTACATAGACTTCTTGTTCTGTAGCATTTTTCTTATTTCTCTTCTGGCCCTCATTCTCTTCTGGCTATAGCAGACAGGCAATCGCAGTATCTGCGCATGCATCACTGCTGCACCACAAAGCCTTATTTAAACTTATTCTTAGAGGTGTGAAAGTGCACCCCATTCCCACAGTTAATAAGTAATGATACTAAGCTGGTATTTATATTTTATATAAATTGATAATACATTAATATCTAACATTAAACTCACAAAATTCTATCAGTTACTTTCTTTATAAGTCTTGTCTAAAATACTTTATTACTGAGACCTAATTGCATGCATTAAAACAAAGCTGTAACCACAGCTGGAAATATGTAATGATGCTAATGTGACTGGAACACCTATTATTATGAAGGTGTCATAAAAAAAATCTTACATGGTTCTCAAAAGTGAAGATGGCACTGTGTAAATGACTGTCAGTGTCGGGTATGGTAACAGAAGAGGCACTGCATTAATCACTGTCACTTAGTTATTGTGATTGTAGAGGCAGTGTATTAATGACTCTGTTACGGTAGTGGAAGATTTATTTTTTTGTTTTACAGTTTCTTTTTTCGACAATGTCTACTAAATGTGAATTTTAAACGCAAGCTCAGTGACGACAGTATAAAGGCACTTCTGCCACCCACAGGACTAGAAAAGGTTTATTCATCACAGAATTATAGGTCAATATATGTTTTTCTCTATTCATCTTAAAACTTGAATTATTGTTTGATTTTGGGAGTAACGTAGCAATTCTATGAGACACCTAGATATAGAATTGTAATTCTCCTGTTATATTTAAAAAAAAATCTCCCCAAGCCCTATATGAGATTGTGTTTTACCTTTTTTAAAAAAATTTAATAAACAAAAAAAAATCAAAAATGATGTTTCTCCAGTATAACCATCAAAGCAAATCTGATTATCATGATGGCGGTCATGCTTACAATTTAATACCTCTCTACCAAATAAATTGACTCTAAATAGTTTCTCATTTGCATCAATTTTCTATCAGGTGATTCTTCCTCTGTGTTTAAGTGAAAGACACAGAAATCCAGTGTCCGACACACAGACTGGGATGTCACAAGTGTTTTCGAAGGCCAGCAGCCTTTCCAAACAGGCCCCCTTTTAGATCAGTGACACCTCTGCATTGTACTGTGATGCCCAAGTGCCACAGAGCTGTGTTAATATATATAATTGAATGGTTTCTTGTTTGTAGTAAAGTTGAATTTTCTCAAAAATTGACAGTTACTAGCTTTTTAAAAGTCATAAGTCTGATACTAACTGGTTTAAATAAATAGGCAGCAAATATAATAAATTCTTTAAAGTTAATCATTACTGTAAATATTGTAGAGGTGAAACCAACTCCAAGGGCAAATGAGGCGGTCAGAACAGACTTATCATGTTGGCATATTGTGTTCAGTGTACTGTGGAGACTGACTGTTGATTTTCTTGTCTTTGTGTGTTGATAGGACTGCGGTTTTCAGGGCAATGAGAAGGTTGGGAAGTGGGAGCACTGGTGTCCTCTACAGACAGGCATACTGCCGAACCTGAAAGGACTTCAGGATACTTCTTGGTAAGACCATTGGTATTATTATGACTGCATACTAGCCTTAGAATCAAATTTTGTGTATTCGTTAAAGTTATTTAGGGCTAAACTTCTTGCTCAAAGGTACGAATTACAACACTCTGGTTTTACATGTAGTTCCTCCAATGATGGAATTACGGTGTGGATTTTGACAATCAGAAAACCAAACTTCTCCCTGGCCTGTTTTAACTAGGACGTGCGTGCTGGGAGAAGTTTGGATACTCGCTGATTTTAAAAGCACCACTTAACTCCCGAGGCAACCAATCTGAAAACAGGTATGTTTTTGTTTAAATATCAATTGTTTCTGCAGATGACAAGATGTTTATTAACAATTATACATACACATTAGAGACACACATTAGGGACATACGTAGTTCTTCGCATTAGTGATCGGGCTCACTGGTCCAAACTTCTTCACTTCCAGAATGATTTCACTGTTGGACCTTTGAGAAAAGCCCTTAGCTGCAAATGCTCCAGAGACACTATCTGACCCTGCTCACTGTTCCTGAATTGTATGCCACTTTGGTTCAAAATGTCTGCTAAACAAGTAGGTTTAATCAAAGGGTGATTTCAGTTCACCGTCTAACCAAACTGCATCACATGCCATAACCTGACCGGACTGACTGCAGCTGTTGTTTATAACATGCAGGGTTCTCCCTGAAGCCGCATGGTAGCTGCTGCTTGCAATATTTCTCTTGGAGCTGAGGCAGATGGACGTCAGGCTTCATGTTCTGCTCTCTGAGGGCAACCACACTGTGTTGTGTCCTCAGCCTTATCAGCACCTGACTGCAAAATGAGAACCAGCAGCTCACGTGTGAAGTCAGTATGGTAAAGAGCTGGTAGATGAGGCCAGCATGTCCTTTACTCAGGGACCGCAGCACTTGAGTGAAACCCCCACAAACCTGGGCCTGCCCCTTCAGGATAGAAAATTTACACTAAGGAGTACAAGTAACCACCTAACTGGTGGGGAAAGATTCTGCAAATTATCATATACAGTACAAACCAAAAGTTTGGACAGTCCAAGCCATCTACAAAGGAGATGTCACATGTCACATGACCTGACCACCTGACCCATTAGAAATGGTTTTGGAGGACTTTGACCAGAGAGTGAAGGAAAAGTGGCTGATGGGTGCTCAGTACATACACTGTGACAAAAAGAACGTTAACGACCTAGAAGTAATTGTCCGATTTTGTATTTGATACACATGCAGACCAGCGATGGGTATGTAAATGATTTGATTTGCAAGGAGCTCGCACATCTAGTCATTAACCTTTGTCCTATGTTAAATTTCTGTTCCTATCTCTTATGTTAAACGGGTCGGTGCAGACCCGTGTCTTAAATCTGCCATAAAATACCCTCAAAACAACTATTTATCATCCAATTTGTTTCTTACCTCTTGGTTGCCTTGTTAGGCTTCCTTATCCATGAAAAGATTGGTTTCAATATTATTGGTGTGGCTTTCTGGACCTTTCTTTTGACAGCAATACCTCTCATTTTCAATAAAAAAATTATGGTAAAATAAATTATATGAATAAACTGAATTGGTCTTATCTTGCCTTACATGTATGGGCATGCCTTGCCTTGATTTTGTTTTAATTTATTTTGTTTCTGCGCTGGTGTTAACGGCAGCCTATGCATGGGACAGTGATCCCATTGTCCGGATGATGCCAGTTGTTGAGACACAGTGTGGGATGACA